AGAGGACTTGTTCCCTGAATTTTTCCGCCCTTAAAAATTCGACGACCTCCGCCAGGTATTTGAACCTGCGTACTACGAGTCATGAGGTGGGAACGTTACCTCTAGACTACAGAGGCCGCTTAAATTTAAATAGTAAATAGTAAAGCTAAATTAAGAATTTAAAATATTAAACCAATTGATGTGTGAATATTAATAAAGATTTTAAACATAATTGACAAAACCGACAAGGGGAGTTCTGGAATATCGGGTGCCGACTGACGACAGAGCAATGAACAATTGGAAATCTGAAGTTTAAATGTTAATATTGAGGGCAGTGTGACAGCTACGTGAAGTGAAATACACCTGATGAGGGCTGGTTGCGGCCGAAACATGTAGTGTGAAAGAAGGGGCACAAGAACTACAATAAAGTTTTACATTTGCGACGGAGTTTGTATTATACATATAGAAGTGTGGAATGTAACAGGTTTCTTAAATATAATATAATACTAAGACAGTTTGGTGAGTTGAATTCTTCTGCCATTTAATGTTAACCTCCAGCTTCCATGGGGTCTTGCTCTGATCTGTACTCATTTTCATAAGAAGCTAGATTTAAGTTATAAGGGTTTCCTATTTTAACAAGCACCATTATTAATAGAAGCAGTGATTCATGAAGATTTTTGGAATCCATCTCTGCCCAGTGTATATAAGTCTTTGTTCCACCCTTCTCCTGATTCTGTACAATTGCGCTGAAGGTCTTCCGCCCTGAACGTACACAGTGTGTCCAGGTTCTGTTAGGCCTGTGTTCATTAAAAATACAAGACGTGAATTATTTTCAAAATTTCACTCTTCATATTCAAAATTGTATCCTTCTGAATCAGTACATAGCTGGAATTGATTGAAAAGTTTTTTAAAACAGTCACTATACTCCCTTTGTGGAATCGCATTTAAAACTGCAGTAGATTCCCTTTGGATGTCCTGGATGGTGTCGTGACAGTCTCCTTTCATTGCCAACTTAAATTTGGGAACAACCAGAAATCGGCTGGAGCCAAATCTGGTGAATATGGGGGATGATCAAGGACTGTGATCCCTTTTCTGGCCAAAAAATCGCGCATGATCTTCGATTTGTGGGGTGGGGCATTGTTGTGGAGGAACGACCAAAAACCTTTCTCTCGATATTCAGGTCGAATTCAAAGAATTCTTATCCACAAACAATTGAGGACTCTGAGATAATAATCAAAATTCACTGTTTGACCTTCTGGCAGAAGTTCCTTGTGAATGATTCCTTTGGAATCGAAGAAAACGGTTAGCAGTGTCTTTACTTGACTTTTTTGCATGCGCACTTTCTTTGGTTTCGGCTTCTTTGGGCTCAACCATGCTGCACTCTGCCGCTTTGTGAGAGGCTCACCACGTCTCATTACCAGTAACAATCGATTTTGCAAACGTTGTATCACTTTGGGCTGACCGTAACATCTTTGCGGTGTTCCACTCTGGCATGTTTTCATTGCCTGACAGCGTGTGTGGTACAAACCGCACACAGACATTCCATTTGCCCAAATCCTCGGTCAAAATTTGATGCACAATACTTTTTGGTATTCCTTAAAGCTCCTCGATGAGTCTTGTAGAAACACATCTGTCTGGTGCAATGCAAAGATTTCGGTCTTTTTTTTTTTTCCACATTTTCTTCAGTGTGAATCATCATTTCGTATGCTTCTCCGGCTGTTGTGCCTAACTTCAAACAAAATTTGATGTTGGCTCTCTGTTCAACCACCATTTTCTGATGAGCGTCAGAACAGTACTGTTACATTCAAGGTCAGAACACATGATGCAGCGATGCTTGCGCTTTGAAATTATAGACAGCCACAGCTGAAACTTCAAGAATCTTAACTCCACAACTCGCCAACAGATGACATTGCAGGGCAAAATTTAAAAAATGAGTCCTAATGGATCCTGGACACACTGTGTATAAAGCTTTGCGTTGCCCTCTGCTAAGAACATGGAAATTAATTAATTCTTCAGGCTGTACTGATGTAGTTTAGAATTGAAGGCATGATAGAGTGCTTTTCTCTGTTAACTGCTTGGTCTGTATACTAACCCTTGTGTGCTTTGTGTTGTTTGCTTGCAATGTGGGTAACTGCTCCTCAGAAAAAAATATAAGACAAGAGCTGCAGGTTTGGCATCTTGAACCCAAACATCGGTTCTTCCCCCACACAGTTGCAGAGGAAGATGGGCCCCAAGCACTGAGCATGCCTATAGACTGTGGGCCAAGAATGGGTCCCAGTGCCTTTGGGTCAGTTCGAGGTGGACCCAGACAGTCATCACTGAATGCAGTTTTGGACAGCAAGAACAAACCAGGCAAGAAGAAGCCTGGGATCTTCAGGGGTATTGGGTCCATGTTCAGGTATGTGATCCAGGTAACATTTAGTGAATAGGAGGAAGCTGTATTCTGGGAGTGTAGTTGTGGTCTTAGATTGTGCTTGCTAATGTAACCTTGGGAAATATGAAACTTTTCAAGCTTCCAGCCTCGAGTCATATACCGCATCATGAAATAGTCTTCTCATAAATCCAACATAAATGTGAAATTCAACCTTTGCACTTTGCCAGTCCATTGCCGAAGTCACTCATGAATATTTAAGCTGCTCATCTGCTTTAACAATTGGTGGCTTCATTTGTTGTCCCATCATTATCATTTGTTCATAATGAGTGACATTTCTTGTTCATTGTTCTGAGAATGTGTTCCACAGTCCTAAGTTGTTAGTTTATAATTTCAGAAGTCTGGGGTTAAGAGTCAGCTTCCCATTTAGTTTATTGTAAAGTTCTCATTCCACTCAAATGTTGTTGGGCTGATTTTCATCTAAAGCACTACTCACACTCTGGAGTTTTTGTGAATGTTTCAGGTTTGGTAAGCATCGCAAAACTCTGGATGTTCCCCTACAGCTTGCTCTGCGGGCAGAGCAGGAAGGAGTTGAAGGGGGTGAAGGGCTGTGTGGTGGGGAGGAGGAGAGGGAAGCGGCACGCAGAGCTGCACAAGAGGAACAGCAGAGGATACAGGAACAATACCGTCGACTGATGCAGCGGCAGAGGCAGTTGGAGAATCAGGTGTGTGTTTCATTTGTAGTATGATTGTCTCTTAATAAGGAGAGTGGACACAGTTTTTATGTAAGAAGATATGTAGAGTGTGCACCAGCTTGTGCTGTGGCTTGTTCCTCTATCCTGACCTGTGGCCACCTAGTTTAGATGAAGGTAGGAATCCTAATTTTTGATGGGAGGATCCAGTTGTCAGGATTTCTATCCTGCCCCCTGGCTGTAGTGTGATAGTGAAGAATGTAGATAATGGCCATCAGGGGGAATTCACAGCATGGCATGAGATCAGAACCACACTGGGGGAAGAGGAAGTCATACCAAATAATCTGCATTTGATAAACCCAAGAGCTTCAGTGCTGTTTACCTGTAAACCACCAGGTTCTCTGCACATCAACCAATAAGGATTGTATGACTAATATGCTCTCACAATCATTTCTTCTGTTCTTGACCTTTGTTAATTTTAATGACTGCTTTTAAGTCCTTCAGTTTCAAGTTTAGCTAAAGCAAGTCAAAAGCACCAGTTATAATATTGTTTCTGTTATATGTGCTATTTGCAAAGCCACGGGCATTAAGTTTTCTTCAGAAAGTTACAGAAGTAGATCAGATTATGAGCTCATGATAACTGTCTAGGATATATAGACTTGAATGGATGATTTGTGAATGATGAATTGTGAAGGAAGTGGAAGGTACTGTCTCTCAACATTTGCCTAGAGGGATTGAAGGAAAGTCACACTAATCCTCAGGATTACTGGCCTCAAGAATGAGATTTGAACTCAGGACCTTCTGAATATAATGCAAGAGTGCTAACCAGTTGGACCATAATGTTTGGAATAATTATTATTATGATTACTAAGAACTGGTCAAATCACTTGAAAAGTTCCATCTTCTGGGATAAAACATGGCATAATCCATTGAAAGGCAACTGATGTTTTGGAGGAACATGTCACCTCCATCATCAGGGTCAAAGAATGAGCTAAGCAACAGACCAGGATGAAGCAGGCAGCAAGTTAAGCTTTAACCCTGAAGATGGATTTGACATGTTCCTCCAAAATGTCAGTTGACTTTCAATGGACTACACAGCATGATATCCCAGAAGACAGCAGCTTCCTTAACCACCACTGTGAGAACCTCAAATCCTACAAATTACTGAAAGGTTGGTTACTGGGTTTAAAGTTAACTGTACAGCAATGGTTATTTGTGAGTGTCAACATGTTCAGCAATTCAAACCAAAACTCAAGAACTAAATTTTAGCATGACCTACTTCTTGGTAGTCATATATCCTCCACACCAGATTTAATGGTTAGGCTCCCAGTCACTCTGAAGCTTCCTTTTATAAGAATGTGATGCACCCCATGAAGATTAGATTAAATTAGATTAGACTTAAGGCAAGAATTTTCAGGTTGATTTAAATTGCAATATTATATTGCTCTTTATTGTGCTTCTTTTTGATGATGATTGAATTAGGTTTGCAACAGCCTTCAAGAGCATGTTGGCATCAATGCAAGTACTGAGTCTGGGGGTCCTCTGCCTGTTGGAATCCATCATTCCAACCACTGTCGTGAGGGCTCGACATCCTCAGCATCAAGCCAAGTTGGTGCAGTGCCAGGCGGAGCAAGTGGCCAGTCTCGCACAGAGCGTATTCATCAGTTACGGGCTCAGCATCAACGCCGACATGCTGAGAGGAGGGGTCAATATCCCTTGGATGACAGAGAGGAAAGATACGAACAAGTTATTCGACAGGTGAGAGAAAAATGGTGGAAACAATATTCATCTGTAGGATGTTTAACCCTTTGACGCGGTAATTTAAATTCCGCGGCTGCGTCTCCTGCGGTAATATATTCAGCCGGCCATTTAAATTTTGCTCGAAAATGATTTATTCATCATTGTTCTTAAATTCTATGAGATAGGAACATGAAACTTTCACTAAAATGATCTTAAAAGGTGGTTTTATAACCTTACCTTATAATATGAGCGCCCTTTATATCTTCAATGGAAGCAGGTTTTTTAGTATTTGAGCAGTGAATGGTACGCCTTGAAGCATGAAACTTTCACTAAAATGATCTTAAAAGATGGTTTTTATAACCTTACCTTATAATATGAGCGCCCTGTATCTCGGTAATGGAGGCAGTTGGTTTAGTAGAAGGAAGGCCTTGAAGCATTCGTATAACCCAACGGTGCC